AATTCTGAGTCCGGAGCTAGTTTTTTGCTTAGCGGCCTAGTCAGAAAATAGCTCCGGACTCGGAATTCAAAACAGATTATGCATTGTGCAGGTTGGACCCCCCCCCCCCCCACACACACACACACTTTCCCTTAGTTGTGGAAATGTACCCTCCCTCTCCCCTTTAAACAGACAAATTCTTGCAAGCGGTCGTTATGAAATGCACCCTCTGTGTAATGCGTTGTGCAGTTTGGGAACACCCCCTCTCCTCCTCCAACAGGAATGTGGTGGCTGTGTAATGCACCCTCAGGGTAATTAATGCATTGTGCAGTTTTGGAACAACCCCGTCTCCTCCCCCAACCATGGATCCATTTTTTGTTTTCATTAAGATATTACAGATTAATTTCGAAAGTGCATTTCACACTATCATTTTTATCATCATCCCTCCACATGAAAGTATTCCGCCAATGTGACTTTAAAATTACGGTGACGACCACTCGGTATTCTTCGGGAAATCAAATGTTCGTCCCACTTTAATACAAATGTTGATCAACATCATGAACATGCGACTTGCAAATATATCAACAGCTTTGGCAAATTCATGTTTTCAACAAACAGAAACTACTTTTATCAACTCCCTTCTAATATTTTATCGTTAATGTATCACATCTCATAAAAACATGGTTTCCAACAGCTATGATCGACAGGCCCGAGTTCCGTTGCTGGTTCATTACCATCTACGCTTTCTAAGCATGCGGAATTTGAATGAACTCGGCCCACGCACACTTGCACCAATTACATGTATTACCAACTTGAGACACTATATCAAACTCACACGAATCGAGAAAAAAAAGATATATTACAAACTTGAAGAAATTTTTAATCATCAAAAAAATCTATTGTTTTTGTCTTCTCTTAGTTAATTCCTACTTTCTCGGAGCGCCTGTGTAACACAGAGACAGAAGCTACCAATATTGGACATTCAAACTTCTTATTGAAGACAAACTGAAAAACTAATAAAAACGATCAGCATCATGCATCAGTGCACAAACAGTTTGAGAAACACGAACCCAACTACACGATGTAGGGGTGTGCTGGGTTTAACAATAAACAGTTCAATTAGTCTTAAGCCGCACTCGCGTGGGTTTCTTGAATTTATGACAACTCGGCCTATGGCCAACTCCCACCACTCAAGCACGCTCACTAATTATAACAACTTGCATCACTTTATCAAATTCGTACCACTCAAAAAAAAAAAGAAAAAAAAAAGAAATATAACAGTATAAAAAACTCGAAAAAATGTGTTTAAAAATTCTATTGTTTTCTTTTAGTTATTTCCTCCGTTCTTGGAGCATCCATATCACACAGAGATAGAACTTGACTCGCACCTTTCGAAAAAAAGAGAAATACTACAAACTAGTACCACTGAGAAATATTTTAATCATCAGTGTTCAAGGTTGTCTTCTTCTCCTCTGAGTTATTTCCTCCGTTCTAAGAACACCTGTGTAACACCGAGACAGAAGCTACTAATTGGACATTCAAACTCCTATGGAAGAAGAACTGACAATCTAATAAAAACTATCAACATAACGCATCAGTGCATAAAACAGTTTGAGAAACACGAACCCAAGCTGTGTATCACCATAAACATTTCAAGTAGTCTTCAAGCCGCGTTCGCGCGGGTTTTTTCTAGTTAAAACTTGTAACAATGAACTGTTCTTAATATGTCATTGTAATTTCGAAATTACGTATTTAACAGTCTCCGGGACAAGTTTGCACTTCCGCTAAGTGCAAAAGTTGTCACCTTAATTTTTGGAGTTAAGTCAAAATGAAGTTGATAACTTGGTTGGTATTGGTTCCCTGATATTTGTCCTAAAAAATTTTGGCTCTAGCACCACTGTTGAAAAAGTTATGCCCCTTTTTTCAACAATTTCCTCAAAGGAAAAGTAGTTTTCCTCAAGGGAAATCAAATTTCCCTAAAGGAAAAAGATTTTTCCTCAAGGGAAATTGTATTTTCCTCAAAGGAAAAAGATTTCCCTTAGGGAATTTGCTGCATTAATATTTCCTTTGAGGAAATTCTATTTCCTGTGAGGAAATTTGCGGCTTCAAATTTTCCTTTGAGGAAATTCTATTTCCTCCGAGGAAATTTGAGGCTTCAAATTTTCCTCTGAGGAAATACTTTTTCCTGTGAGGAAATTTGCGGCTTCAAATTTTCCTTTGAGGAAATACTTTTTCCTGTGAGGAAATTTTGTCAACAGCTATTTCCTGTGAGGAAATTTTTGACAGACACTTTTCCTTGAGGGAAAATTCAAGACCACAAATTTCCTCTAAGGAAAACATTGTTCTCCAAATTTCCTCTATGGAAATTTCTGTTATTCAATTTTCCTCTATGAAAATTTCAAAACAGTAAAAACAGTATGAATATAATTTTTCTGAGACTGAATAATTGATACAAAGGATAATTAAAACTTTAATAAAATGTTCACTGATGAGTAACATGACATACAAAAACAATAGGCTAGCTGTTTGAGACAATACAATAACAAGCAAAACGCTATGAATATCATACTATTTGTGATGTTATTAATATTGTGCTCATATTTGCAGATTAAATAAAATAACCACTTTTCATGTTAATTTAACTTTTCTTCTGTTTAGGCTACTGCGTACAACTATTCAATCCCCTACATAACAGTTCAGTCAGGTGAATAAATAATTACATCCACCAGACATCTTCCTTCAATTGGTAAAGAATACATTTTTGCAATTTGTTCTTCAAACGTCTTCCTCTGTATATTTGATATGACAGAGCTATGTACATGAATGGATAAAGCAGGTGTTTATTTCGACAACAAAATACTTTTTTTTCTACATTTCTCCATAATCCTTCAGTGAATATGTAGGTTGTTGCAATTACACAATTGTGTTCTTATGCATCTATGATTGTACTCCATTTTGTTTACAGCCATTTTGTAGAAATTTCCTATTTTCTTTTTCCAGGTAAGCACACATTTCATTTCACATTAATCCAATTAGCACACAATGTAGAAAACTATTAACCTTAAGTTTCCTCTTCTGTATTGACCTGTTGATGATCATGAAAACCACGAAGTCTCACCTATAAATACACAAAAAAATAAATTGAGAAAAAAACAGCAATATGAAATAAGCTTATTTTACCATGTTTAATATGAATATTTTGAGAAACTTAAATTTGATATTCTTACTAATCATGATTATGAGTTCAGTTTTCAGTGCTTTGTGACCATGACTTAATGCCTTGCAGTGATAATGAGTTGAGCCACTTGCAACAGTTTTTACAGTTTGTTCATATGATGTGCTATTTGAACCACTGTCCTAGATTATGGTTAGGTGGAGTGCTCACAGACATGATTTTTTTATTAATTGTTATTGGCTTTGAACTAATTTGGATTGTTTAAATCTTTTCAGGTATGGGTTTTCTCATTATCGAAGGCCGTCATTGGTTTTTAATTGCTTGCATCCACTTCTTTGAACTCTGGTGGATAGATAACTCACATACCACATCTTCTTATTTTTATAATAGTCATCATTCAAGGGCAATCACTTTTATTATATAGAAGTGGTCTTACCATTTAGGCCTTGTTGTCTTCTGTTTATGTTGTTTTGCCGATCATTTCTACTGTACAGTTGTAATTGTTTATATTTTTCTTTATCTTCTATATTTCTTGCCCTAAACTCAAAAAAGGTAAAAACTATAATTTAATGACTATAACTATTATTGTACATCAGTATGTGTTTTTCTATATACCATGATATATAAAAAAGGAATGAAATATTTGTGCTATTTCATTTCACAGACTATTTGCCAGTCAACAGTTTCAAAGACATAACCACGGTCAATAGTTTAACAAACAAACATTCCCGTACTTTTTCATCGTGTTCATACTAATTTTTCAATGGACAACACTGACATGATTATCTATTCTTCTATGATGTGTGTGCTTGACAACATTAAACTCTGAAATATTGTTAACAGTATAATCTGTATGTGTCTGTCGTCAAAATTTCAAATTAATATATTACTTACAGAAGCAATTAAAACAAGAGGCTCACAAAATGAAAGGGATCTAAGAACTTAAAAATTTCTAATTTACCTTTTTTTAAACCATATCATTATTATTTGCATTTATATATAAATCATTCAGAAATAACTAAATTTTAAAGAAAACAAAAGGAAAAAAAGGAAAAGAAATCCCCCCCAAAATGTTTTGAACCCCCTTATGATTCATCACCCCCAAACTCAATCCCAGCCTTCCTTATGTGGTATGGTACCTTGCTGTACAATTTTAGAGAGATCCATACACTTGAACACAAGTTATTGTCTGGAAACTAGAAAAATGCTTGTTTTTTGGCCCCAAATTCCTAAACATTTAGGGCAATTACCCCCAAACTCAATCCCAGCTTTCCCTTTGTGATATGGAACCAAGTAGTACAATTTCATAAAGATCCATACACTAACACACAAGTTATTGTCCTAAAACTAGAAAATTGCTTGTTTTTGTCCCTTTTTGCCCCTAATTCCTAAAATTTTGAGGCAATTACCCCCAAAATCAATCCCAGCCTTCCCTTTGTGGTATGGTACCTTGCAGTACAATTTTAGAGAGATCCATACACTTGAACACAAGTTATTGTCTGGAAACTAGAAAAATGCTTATTTTTGGCCCCTTTTTGGCCCCTTATTCCTAAACATTGTGGGCAATTACCCCCAAAATCAATTCCAGCTTTCCCTTTGTGATATGGAACCTTGTAGTACAATTTCAGAAAGATCCATACACTTACACACAAGTTATTGTCATGAAACTAGAAAAATGCTTGTTTTTTGTCCCTTTTTTAGCCCCCAATTCCTAAAATTTTGAGGCAATTACCCCCAAAATCAATCCCAGCATTCCCTTTGTGATATGGAACCTTGTGGTACAATGTCAGAATGATCCATACACTAACACACAAGTTATGTCTGGAAGTTACAAAAATGCTTATTTTTGGCCCCTTATTCCTTAACGGTTGGTACCATAACTCCCAAAATCAATCCAAACCTTCCTTTTGTGGTATTGAACCTTAAAGGTAAAATTTCATAGAGATCCATTTACTTAAACTAAAGTTAGAGTGCGAAAACCAATGTGTCTTTGGACGACGACGCCAACGTCAAACCAATATTTTGACCGAAAAATTTTTTTGCGGTCCTATAAATACTGCAAAGTTTCCTTAAAATTACCAATCTAGTGGCAGCAACCAAACAATGGATTGTTAGATTCATCTGAAAATTTAATGACTGATAGAACTTGAAATAATGAACAATTTTACCTCACATAAGATTTGCTCTAAATGCTTTAGTGTTAGAGATATAAGCCAAAAACTGACAATGTTATGTTTAAAGGGTCTATAATTTAGATTGACAACTTCAGACATACTAATATTTGACCTTTTCAAACTATACATTACCAAATCACTACTTAAGTATGTTCGCTACTCTGTTTCAAAATAACAAGCTTTTTAAAAGACTGTTATAAATTGAAAGTATATGAATAAAGGAACTAAAAAAACAGAAAAATGAAGGGTCCGTGTGCTTGTTTTTAAGATATAAGCCATTAAAAATTTGGCAGGAAGTGATTCTCTCTAGACTTTTCATACACTTAACACTGGCACCTTTTTCTTTCAAAAGCTATGGAAAAATAACAAGGATTTTATAAGATTTTCAAATATGGCTTTTTAAACTATATAATAAAAATATGAAGAGAAAAGTAGGGATTTGCGGGCAAAATTTTTTAATGGCACTGCATGGATAAAACCAGAGGATTCCGAATATCTGGTAAAAATTCAAAATCAAGAGGAGCGAACATCCTTAACCTAAAAAAATTGCCACATTTTTTCCAATGTAATTTTGAAGGAGTATGAAAATAATTTGCTATTTGCAAAACTTTACGACAAAAGAGATGATTTCAGCTTCCCAATTGTGAACTTTCCATTTCTATGTAGCAACATTCCAGCAGCGCCTGCATACGGAGTATATATCTCCCAATTGATACAATATTCCCGGGCTTGTGTTTCCTATCATGATTTCCTTGATAGAGGATTGCTGCTCACAAGGAAGCTATTAAACCAAGAGTTCCAAATGGTGAAGTTGAAGTCATCCCTTCTTAAATTTTACGGACGCCATCACGAGTTGGTTGACCGTTATGGAATAACCGTTTCACAGATGATATCGGATATGTTCCTTATGTCGTAACTACAACACTTCCCTTTTCACGAATGTGACTTACCGAATTAGACTATTTACCGGATTTGTAATAACATAAGCAACACGACGGGTGCCACATGTGGAGCAGGATCTGCTTACCCTTTCGGAGCACCTGAGATCACCCCCCGTTTTTGGTGGGGTTCGTGTTGCTTAGTCTTTAGTTTTCTATGTTGTGTCATCTGTACTATTATTTGTCTGTTTGTCTTTTTATTTTTGGCCATGACGTTGTCAGTTTGTTTTCGATCTATGAGTTTGGCTGTCCCTCTGGTATCTTTCGTCCCCCTTTGCAAGTTATACACTATCCACACTATAGACCTAATAGAGCATGTAGTCAGAGTAGAAATACTAATTTTAATCAAACTTGGCATGAACTAAGATTAGGGAATTATAAGACAGTTTACCTAGTTTTGTGGCAATAGCATATATACATTAAAGACTATAAGTTCATTCTTATATTTGAACTTTGGGTGTTAATTTTTTGCCGTTTAATGTTTAACATTTAACTATCAAGATTTGGGCCTACATAATTTAAATTTTGCAAAAAACTGCTTTTAAAATGTCTTTATAACTATTTATATATAATTGTGTATGTCACATGTATGTACATGATGTATTTTAATGTAAAGCAGCTGAATACTCATTTGCTGTCTCAGATTTATTTCAATTCTTCAAAAGTCGAATTTATATGAGCCTATGCCTGAAAATAAAGATTTCAAATTAAGGGGGGGGGGGGAGGAGGCTAATATAAAAATTCTTCATGTATACTGATAAAGATATTTGTATTTCAAAAGGAAAGAAAGTTATTTATCTGCTTATAGCATACCACATGAGTAGAACAAGGTCCCATTAGGCCATGCAAGACTGAATAACATTTAAGGTCAATATAGTGAGTAACACATTTTTACATGTATATGAAAAGGCATACACATAACAATGCATAAGCTAGAGGAAATAAAAATGGGTTTCTTTTTGGTAATTTGTAGGCTAAGGTGACATCATACAAGAAGTATGAGTGATTCTCAAACTAAAATAAAATAATTTCATCCCCCTACTTCATTGTACAATTAAGTTTACTTTTTATGCATAAAAAATATAAATAAATAAATTTTGAAGTAATACATGGTCCACACTAAGGAATCTTTTTGTAAAAAATGAAAATCAATGGATGATAACTATGTACTTGGAATAACAGTTAAGATTTCACATGCTGAAATGTCTCGTCAGCCCAATCTCAGTCAGTGAAATAAATTATTGTTTGTTTTTTTTTAAGTGATATGGAAGTAGTCCAAATAATAATGACGCATTGCAAGGCTTTTTTTTCTCTCTCTGACGCCGTAGGAAGTAGAAGTGAGTTGACATAACATGTATGTTATCATGCAAAATCAACAGTAATGAGTATACCTATGATTGTCATCGTCACTGCAAAAGGATCATTAATACCAGGGGGAAAGGAACCAATAAATTGATCGGATCCGATATGAAGTTCCCAGTAACGGAGAACCTCTAACCTGCTAACTTTGAGGTAATATTATTGAATAGGTGGAAAGGGTATTGGGAGACAGGGAGAAAGGGGGCGGGAGAAAGGAGAAAGGTACCCCCCTTTCCATCCCCTCATTATTAGTGTCGGTGGTCTCACAAATGAATCAGGGTGAATTGCAGGTTACATTAATTAGCAGAGAATCAACTTGTTATTCATTATCTCGCAGTTATTTACGGTTAATTAGCTGTATATATCCCAAAACAGGTGCTCGGAGCTAGTACTAGTCTATGACTAATAAGTAACAATTATATTTATATTCACAATCAGTGGCGGATCGAAGGAGGATGGGATCCGGGGGTTTGACTCCTCTTTTGGTGAACGATCAATGCATTTAATGGAGACATATATTTGGACCCCCTTTATCCTGGCTGGAATCGCCCCTGATATTACATGTAAATCAAGTCCCGGGTTACTGTTAGCATAATAGCATAACGGTAATCACAAAGAGTGTGGTAATTTTAAAAAGGACGAGGATTTATAAATATACAATTCTTGAAGGTAAACGGACAGAAAGTCACAGGACAAAAAGTCAGAGGACATAAAGTCACAAATGGGATAGGACAAAAAGTCACAAATAATTTGTTGACAATTGTTTGAATATATAAGAGAAAGATCTTCAAATAATTTCTTTTTTTTACATTTATTCATTTTTAAGTTTAGAAAATTGTTCATAAGCCTTGATAAATGAAAAATTATTAAATTTTAATCATGCAAATGATATATTTTTTGGAACCATGCAGCCATTTAAGTGCCAAACCTCTTTGACATTTTGTTATCATAACAATTATTTGATCATCATTGATATTTATTGAATAAATTTTATTACAATGTTGCTTCATATATTATAGTTCAAGAAAAAATCAAAAATTTATTTTTAAAATTAGTGTTTTCTTGTTCAGAGAAAAATAATCTCAAAACTGAATTGTGACTTTTTGTCCTGTGACTTTTCGTCCGTTACTTTCTGTCCTGCATTCTTCTTGAAGAGGGGGGAGAGTGCATTCACGATAATCGAAAAAAAGTGCCTTGCACGTTATTTTCATCATCTTGTCTGAAACAGTCTGAATAATGAGCTCCAAGGCGAAGCGTGAAAACAATAAGTCATGTGAAATACTAATGACAAACACGTTGTACGGACAAACCCTTAAATCCCTCAATGTTATGTCAAATGAATTATAGCAAGGAAAGGTAAATTTAATTTAATTTCAAAACTAAATATTTGTTATATTTCGCTCCTGATTTCTCAAGAAATCATAGAATCAATAAATGTATAAATTTTAATTATGCATGTCTGTGTGAGATCCATTTCATGAGACCAAGGATTTCTATAAAATCCTTGATGGGACCCTTTATATATACAGTTTTCTATTTTCCCCGGAATTTTTTTTTAAAAAATATAATCTTTTGGGAAATAATCCGATTTTGTTGAATTATTTCCCTTCATAATTACGATAAATCCTTTTAGTTCTTCAATTTTAAATTAAAATAAATATTTCATTTTGATCTAACGACAAACTTTTTAAATTGTAGTGGCATGGTCAGTCAACTGATTAGTTGCATGGCTGATTACCAGTTTACTGGCGACCCAGTAATTTTCCATATAACAGTGGCCTGTACCCTTGGGGTGTGTATAACTTATTTTGAATACCTTAATTTTCTGAGGAACATCCTGTCCACGTGTAATACTTAGTATATATTGCAACAGATGACATTAAACAAATTTTCTTTGTAGCATCGGTGTCCATTTCATGTTCAACCACTCAAAAATTTCACAAAAAAGATAATATAATAAAATCATTAAAAAAACACTAGCAAATAAACTTAGCAATGAGTAAACGGAGATTTGTGTTTTAAAGGGCTTATTTCCAGAGGATATATTTCATACTAGATAACTAGACCTGAGAAAAACTTTTTTTTTGTAATATATATTTTATTATTTTCATATCATTCTCAAATCTCGATCATCTTAAATAAAGATGTACAAAAAATAATTTTGTTATAACTCATAAATATATCGTAAATCATAATTGTTACAAATTATAAAATGGTAAGTCAATGCCCGATGTGCCGCCGTCTGTTGCAAAACTACGATTTAATCTTTTAAATGAAAGACGTGCACTGCCTTCATCGGAACAGAGGAAAGTCCACCTAGTATCCGCTGAAAAAAAAGAGATCATCATAAACTTTTTAGCAGACCTTCTCGTGTAAAAAAAAACCAAACTTTTAACTGAATTAAACAAAAAATTATCAAACAAAACTCATTAGAACACTCATAGCAACATTTTGTTTAGACCTGAGATAACTTATAGTAAGATTATTTATATAGAACAATTAAAAAATTCATCAATTTATTAAATTTGAACATGTGAACCAAAAATAAAAAAAATAACTGACGGGAAATTGGCTATACCTTTTTGGTATTAGCCATGAAGCTTCATGTATGTATACGTACCAGCCACTTTAACTTATTGTTTTCTTAACCTTTAAACAATACATTTTAAAATGAACTACTTTATTTATAGTAGTTCAAGAAAAATATATATATATATATATATAGATATATTAGATAACTCTTTCCTTTATATTCAATGGAACAAGAAGCGAATTCGTTAGCGAACTAGAGTAACTATAGAAATAGCGTCGTTTCAGGTCTTCTTCTGACCGGCAATCATGTGAAAACCTTAGCAGTAATGAAAGTGGAACGTCCAGTGGGCTGTGCTCAGCCACGTCCGAATGGGGACGTTGAATTCTTGCAACAACTCTTCGAGTGGACTGTAAGTAGCCTGGTATTAGGCCAATTTTCTGTCCTTCCTTTTTCATAGGCAGTCGAAATTTTCCGACCGTATCACGGGCGGTCTCAATTACAAGACCTACATGTACCTATCATATATTATTCGGTACGTCAGACACACCCGACATTAATCAACCAAAAACTCAATATTTTACAGTAGGGAATGAATATCTCCCACGTTCTCTTGTCCCTTGAAGGATCAATATTGAATTTCTTCCAATCGCCCCCCCCCCCCCCACCCCTTTTTTTATAAGATTACATTATGGCGTATGTTTTTTTTTTAATTTTACGAAAGACCAACAAATCGATTTTTATCACCAAATTTGTCTTTGCTGAGATTAACACTAAAAAAGTATAACAAAACGTAACGATTGAAAACTCACATGCAGTTCAGTTTTTACGGTACGTCTAAACACCGCTCAGGACCTCCTGAGTGCACTCAGGACATACAAAGTGCACTCAGGACATGAAATATATGTTTTGGTTAGTGGTGAAGGTATGCATTCGATAGATTATTTAATTCTTCATCTTATAATTTTTGTTTTGATAAAATCAATTTAATATTTAAAAAGTTATTAAGGTTTTCATCGGCACGCGCCGTTTTTATGAAATATGTCAGGCATGACCGAAGATTATATTGAATACCAATTATCAAGTTGATTAGGTCGTTTGATCTTTAATAATTAGGAGTGATTAGTGATGGTACTTACCTCATACAAGTAAGCTTGGCAAACAAACAAAATCAAGATGTCTTTTGAAAAATAAAGAACAATGAAGATATATTGTTTTAGAAAAAAACCGTTAAATAAACATTTTTCTTTTTGTTTGTAATAATTGAAGCCAGTCGAGAAATATGAGAAATCTATATATATATAGTTGGGAAATTTTCATTCAATTCATTTCATTTCATTAACTTAATCAAGGATTTGTATAGTGAGACTCTCACTATACAAATCCTTGACTTAATAGATAAAAAAAATATCGTTATTATTTTCTTTGTATAGATTTTCGTATTTTATTAACATTTCGTGCAATAAAAAGTTTAGTTTTATTCTTAGTTCAAAAATTAAGATGAATAATTCTTTCGTATTTTCATATCTCTAGATATATTACAATAGACTTTAATTGCATTGTTCCATAGTAAAACAAAGAATCGGTGAAACACCATTAATTTTATAATTTACTTTCAAGCTAACAGATAATCTGATCACTCACTAAAAATAGCGTTTAATTAAAAAAAATAATATTGGTATCATTGCGTTCTAATTCTTATTTATATAATTGTGTGTGTGTGTTTTGTTCTATTTTCTTGTCTTTGAGATTCATTCAAATAACTAAAACTTTTTGACCAATGAGAGGCTGTGTATGTATAACATAACGATTCAATCAAAATTTCATTTAGTTAGATTTATTCCTCTATTGAAACTCGTTCTTGTCCAGTAATAAATCCCTTAAACGAGTTTGAAAAGGGAAATAAATTTGTCATACTTTTCATGAATTAAGATTTAGTTTTGTAAATGGAACCCGTTCTTAACTGTAGAAGCCGTACTTGCCAAAATACGCTTTTCAAATAATCAAATCTCATATAGTTAGTGTTCTTTCTCATTTTTATCGTTCTTGTCCAGTAATTTCATTCTTGAGTAATACGAATGTTTTAAAAATCCGCATTTATTAAGATTTATCTTTCTCATTAAAGTTGTTCTTGTCTAGCTGTAATACAAGCCTTGAACGAATTCCAATGTGAAAATAAATTCTGAAAAATTAATTTGTCTCCGTTTTCTGAAAATTATCATATTTGGGTATTATTTCTAAATAATTTGTAAGTAAACGAAATCCGTTCGAACCACGACTAAGTCTTCGTGCACAGAGTTTGAAGTGCCAAAACCCCCAAAACTTGCTCGTAAGCCAAACCAAAGGAAAAGACCAAGGACAGCACGTACGCAGCCAAGATATTAAACTTAGCAAATCATATAAATAAATACTGATCTGTCTTATTAAGGTTAAGTTCTAAAAATTGTCATTGAAAATATAGGACCAGTTCATAATTTCAATAAATTTGTTATCTATATCAAGGCTGTGAAGATCTTGAATAAATTTTGAACATTCATGAAAAAGGTTATATCGAATATCGTCATAAAGTGTGCATTCCATAAGGAAATGTTTTTCAGTCTCTACACTGCAACTTTCACAAAACTTAATAACATCGTGTTATTCATTTTAAACGTAACACAGTACTAACAACACAATTCATAAACAACAATAAAGATAATCCAATCAATTTTGTTGATTGGATAATTCACGGCTCAGTAGTTGTGTAATCAGTGACACGTGCCCTCATTATTTCATAAGAATTAACGTGTCTATCTAAGTTCGATTTCAAATTGTACCAAAATTTAACTCTTAAATAAGCAGCGTGTAACGAATATATTCATCCATCCTGTGTGCAAATACGATGACTATAAAGGGTCCTGAGTGCACATTGTATATCCAGAGTGCACTCAGGAGGTCCTGAGCGGTGTTTAGACGTACCCCAGTTTTTAAGATATTTTTTTCTTTGGAAACTAACAGACTAATTTTCAAAAAGTTTTTTCTTGAACCATTATTTATTAAAACGAATTTGTAAACAAAAGTTATTCTTAAATATTAATAATGATCAATGATTGTAAAGAAAAATCCATCATAGTAGTTTGTTAATTTACTGGATCCATGGTGTTAAACATGTCACCTTTCTTTTACAAATAACTGATTAAAAATATGAAGCCTTTACTGTAAAATAAATCATTCTAAAAAAATAAATTCATCCAGATTTTTCTCTCATAACCTTTCAACAGTTATTGTAAACTAATTTATTCGAACTATAATAGTCCTATGACTTGCTGTCCGTTTACCAATATTTATACTTTATTAAGTGTTTTCATATTCATTGATCATTAACTTCATGTTTTGCGAATATTTATAAGAGGGTAATTATTATAGCCAGTAATAGCTAACAATTTATCTAAAGAAAAAGAGATGCTATGTTCAAATTCTGAGATACGAATCTAGTTCTTTATAAAAAAAAAAATTCTCAACAACAAAATTCTACACTTTCATCTATCTTGGTCTTTTTGTCTCCGCTTCGAAGCCGACATCCCGTACCAAACATTTCTATTCGTTCGCCAATATACAGTCATGTAAGTAATATACAACAGGCAGTAGATCTGGATTTGTAAATTGTTATTTTGGATTTTACCTGATTAGGACGTGTCTCGTTGAATTTTCTAATAAACTTACACACACATAATCGTAATGTTATAAGAACATAGAGCTACTGTATATATAGGCCTAGTTGCATGCAAGTCTTTACAACTTATATATTTTGGTATGCTATAGTTTGTTTTTATAGACTATTTGTCATTTGGTCGGGGTTTTTTGTTGTTGTTTTTAGTTTTTGACATGGCGTTGACTCGAGTTTGATATATTATGCATCTTTTGTGCTGTATTTTAACAATTATTTACAAGAATGCTGCATGTTTACACATTCATCACTATACCGCATCTAAATATAGCTTTATTGTAAAAAAAAAATAAGGAGATGTAGTATGATTGGTGATGAGACAACTATCAACCAGAATTTAAAATACCTGATATAAGCAATTGTGACTTACTTTCTTTACTCAGAGTGATCGTGAATTAATCAGATAAGCTGGAGGAGGGTTTTTTTTTTGGGGAGGGGGGGGGGGGGCTTCATACTAAAAGAAACGAAATTAGCATTAGCTTTTTGTGATAAATATATAATAAACTCACAGTAACAGAAATAGCTCTTGAAAGTTCTGTCAGATCCCGGCATTTTTAACTGTTTTTGACGCGTGCTAAAAAATGCAGCACCTGGTTACAGGGGCTCATTTGACAAATTATCATCTTTCGTAATTTAAGTTATAAAATCTAAAATTAAAGTGATCTAAAATGTTCATGACTAACGAGTATTTTCACTTGTACGCTGTGAAATGAGTCTAAGAGTATATACATGTATATCGGGATACTGACTGCATAGTAAAATATTTATATACCTATTAGTTGCGGCTCATTTTGGTCTTTTAAGTAAGTGTCCTTCCCCTGCATTACTTGATCGCTTTTGTAAAAAATAAACAGCACAACAACAGCACTCGACATCAGTATAATTTGTACCAAAAAATGAAGAAAATATTCAAAAAGAAGGCTCATAAAATTCAAATATTGGTAAGCATGCACACTAATTTGTCACTACGGACATGATCTTTTTGTTAATGCGCCAAACTCGTTTCTGGGACGATGTCGATGGTGGGGAAAATGACGTCTTGCAAGGCTATTTAGGCGTCCCAGAAAAAAAAATTAAAATAGCCTTGCCAGACGTCATAATTATTTGGACTAGGGAAAACCCAACAAATCATTAGTTCCCCAAATGAGTATCCTAGTTGAAAGTTTTTTTTAATATGATATAGCTATTTTTATATTGGAATGGCACATATTCATGAAAAATCAACAAATGATCCGAAAGTCGAAAAGATGAATATAGTCCTCTGACTTCACAAACTTGGAAACAGTTGTGATGTTGCTTCGCTGAGCTATAGATAACCGTACAACCATCAACAATGAGCAAAATTCACACCATATAGACATAGGTGCTTGAGGACAGGAGTCGAGATTCACATTGATAGTAAACATGCATATTAAGAGTAAAAATATGGTATATTAGTATATATATATGGTACAAATAAGTGATATATATTGAAAAATCTAAGATTTATGGTAAGAAGGGGGAGGGACTATGGTGGGGTGGGTGGAGGGGGGGGGGGGGGGGGGGGGGGGGCCTCAAACCAGGATCCTGTCCTCAAGCACCTATGCATATAGAAAGCTGTAAATATAATAAAAGGCCTCGAAATGACAAATGTAAAACAAAAAAAAAACAAGAAGCCTAACATTTAAAATAGAATTTAAACTAAAATTGAAAATAGAAATGGGGAATGTGTCAGAGAGACAACAACCCGCCCAAAGAGCAGATAACAGTCGAAGATCACCAATGTGACTTCAATGCAGCGAGAAAATCCCACAACCTGAGGTGTGCTTCAGCTGGCTCCTAAACAAAAATGTATACTAGTTCAGTGATAATGGACGTCATACTAAACTCTGAAATATATAAAAGAAACTAAAATTAAAAATCATACAAAACTGACAAATGCCACAGGCACCTGACTTGGGACAGGTGCAAACATATGGTGGGGTTAAAAGCCTATATACTGTAAATTTCAGAAATTATTGCATGCATTTACTTATATTGCCAATTAACATAATCAGTCAAGGATATAACTCTATAGCATGTATAGGGTTATTACAGAAAAATAACATACATTTGTTATTGTGGACTAAAAAATCAAAGAACTGTGATAACATATGCATGTTACATGTTTCAAAGGGACAATATACATCATTAGTTTTCTTAAAATGTACACAGGTTCTATTGATATTACTATTGTCTTCATGTATACTTAACTATAGAAAGATATAACAGTTCATAGCTCGCCAATCATGCATAGTACACCTATGTTATTACTGAAAAAAATATGCCTATAATAACTAACGGGTGTTATTACAGCTCCTCTACATCATTCCTAAGCATTTGCTCAGACATTCATCATGCTTAATTACAATGTATTTTAATTTATTGTAAGAAATAATGATCAGAGCATGTAATGAGGTTCTGTGCAAGCTTCCCAGTAATTCCCAAGTGTCTTATATAACAAGTTAAATGCCTTTAATAACTAATATAAAAAAGAAGATGTGGTATGATTGCCAATGAGACAACTCCCCACAAGAGACCAAATGACACAGAAATTAACAACTATAGGTCACCGTACCGCCTTCAACAATGAGCAAAGCCCATACTGCACAGTCAGCTATAAAAGGCCTCGAAATGACAATGTAAAACCATTCAAACGAGAAAACTAACGGCCTAATTTATGTACGAAAAATGAACGAAAAACAAATATGTAATACATAAACAAACGACAACCACTGAATTACAGGCTCCTGACTTGGGACAGGCACATACATACAGAATGAGGCGGGGTTAAACATGTTAACGGGATCCCAACCCCCCCCCCCCCCCCCCTAACCTGGGACAGTGGTGTAACAGTACAACATAAGCCTTGTTATTACAGCTAAGTTGATCCCTTAAAAGCCTCGTTCATTGATTTGCCATGGTTAATGAAAAATGTATTAATTTAATTCAAAAATTAGTTATCAAGGCTATGCATTTAGTTTCTGCGCAAAGTTTCAAGAGTTCCCTAGAGCCTACCAAAAATCAAAATATTTATGATTTATTTTACAAATAACAAACATATGTTATAACAGATTTAGAAAATTTAAGGATTTAAGAGTAGACAACTCATGAAAGTATCTGTAATAACACATGCAAGTTATTTTCTGTAATAACCCTATAGAGTTATATCCCTGACTGATAATCATGATAATTTCCCTTTCAATTTTAAAAAATTCTGATTTAAGTTTTTGTTGTATATTGGGACTTTGGATAGTCTCAAGAATGCTTTCACCAATTGTTATGAAACTTTGGTGAATTGATTTTATATATTGACATAAACTCCCTTTTCATTTTTATGACCCATAGTGGGTCAACCCTTGACCTTCTGTCCCAAAGTCATTGGTTTTTGTTCTCTAATTAAGTTTGCCTCAACCAAATGTTATAAAACTTTTACAAAAGCTTATTACCACAATACTCAGATCAAGTGTGGTGGTGTCAGTGTTACCGTTCTAGAGTTATGTCCCTTTACAAATGGAAAAATTGCTGAATTTTTGGTTTCCTGCTCTCTAACTTTAACTTTAGTTTGCCTCAACCAAATGTTATGAAATTTGCACACAATGCTTATTATCACAAAAAACAGTTTGAATTTTGGTGGTGTCACTTTTACTGTTCTAGAGTTATGTCCTTTACAAATGGAAAAAATGATGAATTTTTCGTTTCCGTCCTCTAAATTAAGTTTGCCTCAACCAAATTTTATTAAACTTTAACGCAATACTTTTTACCACAAAATCGGATCAAGTTCAAATTTAAGTAGAATAAATTTTACCGTTCTTAGTAATCTTCCTTTATAACTTTATATGATATGCAAGCCGGAGTATCATCCCCTATTTATTTTTATATAAGATGCAGAGTTATGGAAATTTAGTTGTTGGAAAATTGTTTAAAATTGTCCATTTTCACACTTTGGAAGGTTTTAGAATTGTATTTGTTCAAAAATCACGGCCTTAAACTTATATACACTTGCAATATCCCTAAATGGAGCCAAATTATTTTCATGTTTTGTTTCAATGAATACCACTGTGTGCATGTCCTTTTTTAGCTCACCTGGCTCGAAAGGCCAAGTGAGCTTTTCTTTTATAAAAATTATTGCCCTTGAAAGATGATTATCATGATTATTATAAAAATAAAAAGATGTGGTATATTAAATATGAAAACTATTGGTCATGGCTCTAAGAAAGCAATTATAGGCCAGAGACGGCCTTCAATAATGAGAAAATCCATGCCCTATTGTCAAAGTAGTCATAATAAAAGGCCCTCAGATGAAAAATTGAAATAATCCCAACTGTAGAACTAATTGCCTAGTTTATAACAAAACAAATTAAAAAAAATAAATATGACAGAAATGAAACAACAACAACCACTAAATTTTAGTGTCAGAATAAACTACAGGCGCCGAACTTGGGACAGGCACAATCAGAATATGGCAAGGTTATATAAAAATAAGAAGATGTGGCATGATTGTCAATAAGACAACTCTTCACTAGACAAGAAATGACATACCGTTAGATTTCCTGCAAAAAAATAAACAGTCCGGACTGAGCAGGAAATTAATACCTTTCCCTTAATCGAAAAGACACAAAGATCTGTTAGTACTCACAGTTACTGACAGCTAGTTAAAAATCAATAAAAACTAATACATGTAATAAAAAAATCAGGTTTGTGAGCACTCAACCCTACCTTAACTTTGGACAGTGGTTTAACAGCTCAACATATAAAGAACAAACTGTAAAATAACCGTTGCAATTGCTTCAACTCGAAAGATTGATAAAATGCACAAAGTCAACTAATATAAAAACCCATAGACAAAAAGCACGGAATTAAGAGAACTCACAAGTTAGAAAGGAAATATTCTTAAAATGTTCATAAACATGACAAAATAAGCTTTTTTATTGCTGTTTCTCTCTCCATTTATAACATTTTATTTGTTTATTTTGTGTATTTATAGGTGATCAGACATCTTGGTTTTCATGATCAATAGGTCTATACTGAAGAGGACACTGAAAGTTGATATCTATCTACATGGTGCGCTAATTGGATTAATGTGAAATGGAATGTGTGCTTGCCTGCAAAAAAGAAATAGGAAATTTCATCATAATCACATGATAATGGCTATAAACAAAATGGAGTTCTATCATAGATGCAGAAATTCACAATTGTATACATGTAAATGCAACAACATATTATATATATTTGTCGAAAGAAAGGAGAAATGAAGAAAAAAATAGTATTTTGTTGTTGAAAGGAACACAAGCTTTATCCACTCATTACATCATTACCTCATATCAAATATACTGAAGAAGATCTTCGAAGAACAAATTGCAAAAATGTTTTCTCTAAGAATTGAAGGAAATTGTTTAATGAATGGAATAATTTATGCATTGAACTTTTACGTAGTGGATTGAATAACTGTACACACATGACACAGCAGCTGAAACAGAGGAAAATTAAAATTTACAGGAAAAGTGTTTATTTTATTATTTAATTTGCAAATATGAACGCATTCTTAAGAACACCACAAATGGTATGACATTCAAATTGGTTGCTTATTAATGTATACAATTGAAACAATAACAAAGAAAACAGAATACTTTGCTACAAAAAATATTTTATAAATCAAAGTTAAAGTCATATAAAGTATGTACAATACCTTGACCTAAACAGTCAGACTCACTGTATTGTTTTTGTATGTCATGATAATTTTGAGGCAAAAATTTATTAAAGTTTTAAATATCATTTGTATCATTTATTAAGTCTTGTAAACATTATGTTCATACTGTTTGTATAGTGAAGAAATTTACAATGAGTAAAAATAGTGGAAACCATTTCCTACAGGGAAAGTTGATGTACAGAAATTTCCTTTGAGGAAGTTTGGAGAATAATGTTTTCCTTAGAGGAAATTTGTGGTATTGAATTTTCCCTCAAGGAAAAGTGTTTGTTAAAAATTTCCTCAAAGGAAATTGCAGTTGACAAAATTTCCTCACAGGAAAAAGTATTTCCTCAAAGGAAAATTTGAAGCTGCAAATTTCCTCAGAGGAAAATTTGAAGCTGCAAATTTCCTCAGAGGAAATAGAATTTCCTCAAAGGAAAATTTGAAGCCGCAAATTTCCTCAGAGGAAATAGAATTTCCTCAGAGGAAATATTAATGCAGCAAATTCCCTAAGGGAAATCTTTTTCCCTTGAGGAAAATACAATTTCCCTTAAGGAAAAATCTTTTTCCTTTAGGGAAATTTGATTTCCCTTGAGGAAAACTACTTTTCCTCTGAGGAAATTGTTGAAAAAAGGGGCATAACTTTTTCAACAGTGGTGCTAGAGCCAAAAATTTTTAGGACAAATATCAGGGAACCAATACCAACCAAGTTATCAACTTCATTTTGACTTAACTCCAAAAATTAAGGTGACAACTTTTGCACTCAGCGGAAGTGCAAACTTGTCCCGGAGACTGTTATTTACTTATTTGTAACAACAGTATGGAAGACGTTCAAACATAAATTAAGGCTACTCAATTGAGATGTATGCACTGTTTCAGGTCAATGTGACATATAAATCAATCAAAGCCATTTAACCGTGAAATGTAAGTTTAGTTGTGTGGTTGAGCTTTTTTATATCCAAGATATACGCACTGGCGAAATCCAATATATCGTTTTCCATTTGAATTACAATAAAAATATCAAAAATAGAACAACTAATGGTCAACTTAGGGACAAGTCGTATCATTTCTAATATAAGAGTGAATGTATAATTAACAACTTGAAATGATACACTATAACAACTTACTTAAATCGTTCTGATTTAGAAATTTCTGCACCGTTTACTTTGAAAAAGGTACAGGCGATGACTGACACGCAGTCGTATAAGTGATTATGATAATGAATGATTTGGAACGACATGTAGCACGTATCATATGCATTGTAGGACAATAACAGGGAACCGTTATTTAAGAATGAACCATGCTTAGTATAAGATGGAAACTCTGAGGATATATTACCCTATCGAACTTATAAACTATCTAACTCATGGCGGCGCGAGCACACTACAACGATATCCCGATACTGTGCAGTTGTATTGCAAAAGTGTATGTATGATAGAGATTTAACATTTAATGTCAAAATTACAGACACTGTCTCTTCTTAAAGAATACGAATGAGTAGTCCAAGCTAACATATTTTGTCTTGAAATTACTAGTATTACCACATGAGCCTCTCATCAAAATACCGTTTGTGTAATGTAATGTTATCCAAACTGGCGACACTTAATGATGAATGAACACTGGACACTTTTAATTTGCAAAACACTCATTTGCAAATCCGCCGCCGCCTCTCCTTAGACCTACAGTGTCGTGTATATAACCAAAATGTGCAGAATAACATGGGATTCAATAATTTCATTGCTTTTCTGCTGTTATTATTATATATATTTTGTAATTTGATTTAGAAAAACATGGGATTTTCAATATCCCATGGGATAAGGCAAATCCCATGGGATTGACCATTATCCCATGGGATTTTGGTTAAATCCCATAGGATTTTTTTGGGTCCCATGGGATAATTGTAGTCCCATGGGATATTTGTTGTCCCATGGGACAAATAAAATCCCATGGGACTATAATTATCCCATGGGATTTTTAATATCCCATGGGACAAAATAAAATCCTATGGAATTCAAATTATAAATATACAGTAATGTGTATGTTACAATGAATTCTGTTTGGTAGTAAAAAGTTTGTAATATATATGAGTGTATTTTGGTTTTTTTCATTTTGTCACAAACATGTTTTTAATTTGTTTATATGACAATAAAGATTATTATTATTTTGGAAAGTATAATACTATTTAAAGTCAAAAAATAAAATCCTTTAACTGAAATAAAATTATGACATGTCTTAATAAAAGAAAAAAATATTGATTTGAAATCTTTGTCTTGTTTGTTTTATTATGAAAAATATACCTGAAAAAAATATTTCATATTTTGACTGAATAAATTGACAAAGCACAGTTAATAGTTTACTCTTTTCATGAGTTAAAGTTTTCTTTGTTATAGTTCCATTGTAATACATGAATATATGCAATCGATTTGAATCTTATACCTTTGTGGTGTTCATAATATTACGTTTATATTTGCAAATTTATAAAATAAACACTTTTCCTGTTAATTTTAGTTTTCTTGTTTCAGCTTGCTATGTACAATTATTCAGTCCACTATATAAGAGTCAAGTAAATAAATTATTTCATCCACTAGAATATTCCTACAATTCTTAGACAAAACATTTTTGCAATCTGTTCTTCAAAAATCTTCCTCCGTACATCTTTATTGGATGGAGTGATTTAAATGAGTGGACAAAGCAAGTTCGTTTGGACAACAAAATACTAATATATTTTTTCATTCCTCCCTTCTTTCAATTGATAATTATGTTGTTGCATTTACATGATTAAGTTCTTGTGCATCTAGGATCATGATGATATGACTCCTTTTTGTTTATAGTCATTATGATGAAATTTCCTCTTTCGTATGTAGGAAAAAAACACATTCCATTTCAAATTAATAAAAAAGTCACACTATGTAGAAAAATATCAACTTTTAAGTTTTCTGTTCAGTATTGACTTGTTGAATGATGATCATGAAAACCAAGATGTCTAACCTACAAATACACAAAACTCAAAAATTATAAATGAAGAGAAATACAGCAATAAAATGGCTATTTTATCATGTTTATGTACATTTTGATAAAACTTTCATTTGAATATTTAGAATTGTAAGAACTCTTATTTCAGTGCTTTGTGTCTATGGTTTTCATATTAGTTGTATTTTGTGCCTTGTTGCAGTCTTTTGAGTTAAGCCAATTGCAACAAATGTTTACAGTTTGTTCAAATGTTGTGCTGTTATTAAAACCACTGTCCCAGGTTAGGGTTGGGTGCTCACAAAATGTTTATTTTATTACTTGTAGTCAGGGGCCTATTATTCAGTGGTTGTCAATTGTTGCTATATATCATATTTGTTTTTTGTTTTGTGCAAAAATCAGGCACTTAGCTTTCGCCTTTGTGGTGTTTCCCCCAAGCATGTTTAGCATGGATAGACACCATGCCCTTTTTGAATTGTTTTACATTTGTTATTTCATGGCCTTTTATAGATTACTATGCAGTATAGGGTTTGCTCATTGTCGAAGGCTGTACAGTGAACCAATTTTGTTAAATTTAATGTTATTTGATCTCTAATGGAGAAAAGTCTCAATGGCAATCATACCGCTTCATATCTTTATATCAACCATGCCATATTTTGCCTGTCCAAAGTTCATTGGTTGATGTTGGTTCACGTCCGTCATATTTGTTTTTTCATAACTTGTTTTTTTTTATAAATTAGCCTGGTTTATTTGAAGTTTGAATTGATGTCTTGTTCCAAATTTTGTTTATGGTGTCTTTTATAGATGTCTATATCATGTATAGGGTATGGGTTTTCTCATTATTTACAGGTCTGTTGGCCTCTTATAAGTAACTGCATTGCATACATCCACTTAATTGAACTCTGGTGGATAATTTTCTCATTTATCATACCACATCTTATTTTCATAATAATTATTATTCAAGGGCAATAACTTTTATAGAAGTGGACTTACCATTTAGGCTTTGTTGACGTCTGTAAATCTATTTTTGTTGATAATTTCTTTTGTTTATAGTTTCCCTTTATCTTTAATGTTCTTGCCCTACACATAAAAGGGTAAACATTATCATTTAATGACAATAACTACTATTACATAATTAGTACTAGTAGGCAACTGACAATTTTGGATCATTTGTATATCTTGTCTTGCTCATCATTTTTGCTGTTTAATATTATCAATATTCTATGAAAATGAGGTCACAGTAATATTAACCTTGGCAGACAGACATCTTCTTATTTTTATATGACGACTTGCAGTCATTCCATACACCAACAAGTAGACATATGCTTATAATATCTGATAAAATGAAAAAAACAAGAAAACTTAGCATTGACCAAAGAACCATAAAATGCGGTCATGGTTATATGAATCTGCCAGACAGACATGCATAGGGGCGTAGCTGCCGTTAGGCACTTTAGGCACGTGCCTACACATATTTAAAAAAAAAAAAAAAATTTTTGTATTAAAAAAGATAATGACAACGTTATCTGTAGATGCACATGAAGTCGTCAAAATTCTTTAATTATCAAATGTAATTTGTACACTAGTCTATCATCCTGAGTGAATGGAGTATTGGGTAGAATTGTATGTATGGTCAGAAAGGGGATGTTATCTCTGATGGCTAGTGTAGAGAGAATGCCACGCTCTTTGCACGTTAAGAACACTTGCAACAACTCTTTGAGGGGTCCGTAGGTGGTCTGCTGAAAGGCAAAATTTCTGTCCCTATCCAATTAACCCTTCATTTACCTAGCAATGCTAGGCGTCCCTATGTAAACTCAATTTGCGACAGTAAAATCTACGGTGTGCGAAGGCCACGCTTAAAATACAATTCAGTTATCTCCTAATTTTCTAATGGCACTTTCAAATTTTCAGACCTTCATCCTGGACGACCCCTATTACAGGACCTAATGGCTACCTGTATTTATTGTAAATTTTGTTTTGTCCTGTACATGCATAACTAATTGCCACTGGACATCAAGTTAGCAATCAATCAATCAACTAGCTTTCAGTAACTTCGAGTACTCTCAGATCTACGTGTAATGACCATAGTTATTCCTAAGCAGGTAGGGATTTTACAGTA